GGCATTTCAGCCGTGCAGGAGCTTCAGAGTCAAGTGAGTAAACAGAATCACTGAATCACAGAACAGCTGGGGTTGGAAGGGACCTCTGGAGATCATCCAGTCCAACCCCCCTGCCAAGGCAGGGTCACCTGGAGCAGGTGACACAGGAACACATCCAGGTGGGTTTGGGATGTCTCCAGAGAGGGAGACTCCATGCCTTCCCTGGGCAGCTGTTCCAGAGCTCTGCCACCCTCCGTGGAAAGAAGTTCTTCCTCATAATGAGGTGTTTTAGTTGTGTTTTAGTTTATGGCCATTGCTCTTGTCCTGTCACTGGGCACCACTGAACAGAGTCTGGCACCATCCTCTTGGCACCTGCCTTAGAGATATTTGTATGGATTGATGAGATCCCATTTGAGTCTTCTCTTCTCTAGACTAGCCAGGCCCAGCTCCTGCAGTCTCTCCTCGTATGAGAGATGCTCCAAACCCCTCATATCTTTGTGGCCTCTGCTGGACCCTCTCCAGTAGCTCCTTGTCTTTCTTGAGCTGTGCACAACAGTGTGCACAATGTTCACTGTGGGTTACCCAAATCCTGACCACAGCCCTGCTGTGACTTTACTGGGCACCACAACCCCACTGCTCCTGAGGAAGGAATGTCACACACTTCCCTGCAAAGCCACAGGGAAGAGGCAAGGGCTGCTTCTGTAAGGGAGCTGCTCTGAGAAACCACAAGGTCACTTAGCTATGACAAAATGGTTCCAATTAGTCTTCTGTGCTCAAATGGGCCTAGAAAACAAACAAACTCCAGATAGTATTGACATAGTGTCTCATAGGTGAGTAACCTTTTAGTCTGGCCTCTAACATTAATGTGAACAGATGAAATTGTTCCTGTGAGACATGACCCGAAGGAGCAAGTGGCAGCTCCATCACTGGCCTCAGCATCTCCATGGCAACACTGTGACCTGTGCTTTCACTCCCTTTATAAGCCAACAACATATTCCACGGCAAATTTCAGGATACACCCACACCATAATTGCTTCGGCTTATGCTGGAAGTGGCCACAGAGATGAGATTTCACATCCCTGCCCTGTCCTGAGCTCAGGCCGCCTACAGCCCCCTCCAGAGCACAGGCTGTTAATGGAAAGGCCACCTCCACTGCTCGAGGCCACCTCCACCTCATCAGCACAGGGACACACTGGGAGCAGGGCCAGGTGCACTGCTGGTCCACCCTGGGGACAGGGCAAACACCCTCTGGAGAAAAAGGCCTCCTTGGTGCTCACCCTGCACCAGGTACCACTGGCAGCTCCACAGTCTGAACACTGCCAAACTGCAGGTCCCTCAGAGCACTGCACAGCTCCAGCTTGACTTCACGGAGGCACAAAAAGCACAGCTTGCAGGTTGCTTTACCCTGAAGCACCTGCAAGGCCTCACACCGGGGTTTCTCCAGCCCCAGGTCAGTTCTGGCAGCGTCAGGAAGCTCCTCTGTGTGTGGCTGCTCCTCCACACACACTCCCAGACTCTCCAGAGGCAGCCAAAGCCCAGGCTGCAAACACAGTGGGTTGATCCAGTGCAGGCTCTGCACCTGGGACAGGGGTAAACATGTTTTGTTCCTGCCACCCCTCCCCACTGCCATTTGGCTCAAGTGCCCTCTTCTCCTTACACATTGCATGATGACTGAAACACGATGCAAAAACAAAGGAAAGATATGAAGATGATCTTTTTTGAGCTTAAAAGGAAGTGTCTTCCAGTTTCAGGTAAACACCCCTTTGGTTTGCACTGATGCAAACCAGTAGCCAAGCTGTTGTTGCAAGAATCACATCAAATTTGTGCCAAAACCTGCAAGGTAGCTCTGGCAGCACAAACCACACCTTATATCTGCTGGGATCTCTCCCTTTCTCTTGCTTCCAGAGCCTTTCCCACTCATCCTGCCCAGAGCAGTCAATCCCAGAGCAGCCCAGAGCTGCATCCCACAGCCCTGCACTCCAGCAGCAGCAGCTCCCTCCCAACAACCCCACTGAGCAAAACAGAAACTGCCTGATAAAAAAGTAACAGGAAAACAACCCACACAGCTCCCTCTCTTTCCTCAAAGGATCACTGTGTCTGACTCCCAGCTCACTGGCATGCATCACTGCTTCCCCAGGCAGGAGGCAGCTTCTCAAAGGCTCTGCTTGCTGTCCTTTTTAATGTCACTGCCCTGGGTACCTTTTCCTCTCACAGTGTCAGTACATGGAGATAACAAAATCTAAAACATTATCTCAGCGTGGGGCCTCTGACATCTAAGCTGGGGGAAAGGAACTGTCCAAAATTCCATGAGCTCTGGTGACACTTTGAGAGGTTATTTTTTCTGTGCTTTGTTCTCTGCAGCCTTTTTACACTTCCACATTATTTCACTCCTTTTCTCCTATGTTAAAACCATGCCCCAGACAAGATGGAAAGTCTTTGGAAGGTACCAGAAAGATACAAAAGTCAGCAAGGACTCTGGCAACAGCCCTGCAGTCAGAGTGAACACTGAACACAGGAGAGTGCTCCTCGTGGGAACCCTCCCAGACCTCCAGCCTGCATGAATAAGGCAGCAATGAATAGAGGCAGGAAGAGAGGAGATCCATCACCTCCTCAGCAACAGCTCCCTCAACAGATCCGTGTCCTGTCACCTGCAGCAGAGTCCAACAATCCCTTTTTTTTCTAATTCCTCAAAATAACTTAAGGATCAGGGGAAAAAGTCTCAGTGAGCCCAAAGGGACAATTTTGTGCCAGAGGAGCTGAATTAGCAGGTAAAGCAGCAAAAGAACTGACAGCCCAAAGAGACACACCCACCTCATTTTCTGCATGAGGTTTGCCCTCTGCAGGGAGAGAGGAGGGTTCAAGCTCCCAGATGCACAGAAGAGGAGGATCCTGCCCTTCCCTTCTCCATTTAAACCTTCACTGTCCCACTGATGGCTGTGCCACCTTCCTGCTCCTCAAAAAGCACAACAGACAGCTGATCCTACAGCTCCACCACTCTGCCCAGCCAAAGGTGAAGCCTTCAGAAACTTGCGCTGTGATCCTGTGACAGAATTTCTGCAGGAAGCAAAGACATGACTTCCCTGGGATTGGACTAGTGGGATGAATAAAAGGGAGCCAAATTTCCTACTCTCAACATATTTTATAGGATAGCAACCTTCCTACCATGGTTATTTATACAGAAGTGTTACAGACTGTGTTAAATTATACACTGCAGAATGTCAAAAGATGACTTAAAAATGACGATTCTTCCTCCCTCCCCCCCTTTGGAATTTAGAGTAATTTCTAGGGAATTTTTTTATTTCCAAGTGAGTACTTGAGGATCCCATAAGTATTGTGGTATTTCCATGTGTACCTCTCACAGCTTGATTCTTGCCTGTGGCAACTAAATTCACTTGGATTCAAGACGATCTCAAGCTTGACACACCAAGGGGCAGTGGGTGAAAAGGCTTCCCTGGAGAGCTTAGGGATGTGTAACAAGCACAGAGAGGGCTGAAGTGCTGCTCTGGGGAGCCCACCACATTATCCAGGAGTCACATCAGCTCCATTTCCATGTTCTCCTTACTCACAGTCCATGAGGAACAAGCAACCAGGAGCATCCCTAAGGCTGAGTAAACAACAGCTTTTTAAGTGCAGAGAGGCTCCTGCTCCTTGGACCTGAGCAGAGCTCCCCAGCCCTCAGGCACCTGAACAGATCTGCAACTGCCTCTATCGATTCCCTGCCTGGCCTGAACATGACCCTACAGGTGCTGTGAGGGCACTACAGAGGGAGCAGGAGCCAACACTTCTCCCTGTTGGAAACTGGGCTGGGGGGCTGCAAAAAAGGACCAGCAAAGACTCCTCCAGCTGACAGGAACTGCTGCAAAAATGGCCACGATGGAAGGATGGTTTTGCCACCCTGGGAAGCTCCTGCCAGCCTGTCTCTGCACAGTCTGCCCAACCCTCCCTTCCTCCTCTGCCTCACAGACACTTCATCTCAGCTGCACCAAACCCCAGCCTTTCCCCACCCTTCCCTTCCTACCACCACGGGCTGTTCTTAGACCAAATATTGTAAGTGAAGTGTCACTGGAGCTCCTCATGCCTGAAAAACATCCAAGAAAATTGCAGCACATTGTTTTAGAGCCCTTCCATTCACAGTGTTAGAACAACTCAGCCAAGGACAACTTGAAGGTCATTAGAAGAGATCCAAGAAAAAAGGCAGGGACTCATTCAGCTGGCTGCCAAAGACTAGTGTGACTGGGCTTGCTCTTTTAGCAAGAGGTTTAAACACACACAGAAATTACCTATAATGATAACACCACGTTCTATTTAATAACTTTATCCCCTGCAAAACAGTTCAACAGTACAGAACAATCTGCTACTTATTCACATAGGATTTTCTGTGGATTCCACAAGATTTTCTATAGATTTTTTAGTGAATGTACTGTCTGCAAAATATTTTCTTTCCTCACAGAGAAGACAGAGCCCTGCTAGAAGTGGAGTGAGTTTCTCTTGTGCTCTCTTGACCATCAAGCAGAACTCACCATAAGCTGATGGGGACAATACCTTGCAGCTAAAATATTGACACATTAACTGGCACATGCTGATGCCCTCAGCCAGGCAAATCTCAGTTTAACCCCTGTGGAAGCAAACCCTGGGAATAAATCCAGATGTTACCTTTGCCAGCAAGGACAGATTGCTGCACATACACTAAGCACACCAGTGAACACACTAAAACTCATCTTTTTTTAGTCCCCAGTGGAAGCGAGACCGAGGAGTGACAAAGCAGTGCAGAAGCCTTGGGCAGTGCTGTCACTTCCCAGCTCAAACTTCTCCCAGGGACATCAGCTCCAGGGGTGCATTTACCACACTGAAAGTGAACTTGTCCCCGCAGCCCACCCAGCACTGAGTCACCAAACTGCCTTTTCTCCTGCTGAGATCTCCCACCAACCCTTCATGACAAATAAATGCACTTTCATTTTAGGGCTATCAAGCAATAGGTGCATGCACACGTGGACACAAACAAGGCACCCCAGTTCTCTTACCTGAGCCATTTCTGCCTTCGGGATGGTTTTGTGAAAGATATTCTCCAAAAGCCCTCGCCGCTCTGTGTGTCACAGCAGAGGAGAGAAACAGAGATGGGCAGTGGTTAAAGGCCAAGGAAAGAAGGCACAGTTCAATAGCAATATACACTGCTGTGTTCCTGCAGCTGCCATCCCTCAGCCCCAGGTGACACCAGTGCAAACATGCTGCCACAGCAGTGAGGTTACACAGTGTTCCCCTGGCCAAAGAGGGAAAACAGAGCTGGACTGGAAGTCCAGGACTACATTAGTCTTTACCTTCTCTGTTAAAACTGAAAACTAAAATTGAAATGCACCTGCATTAAATTTGGCCTCGTTTCTCTGATGCACACAGGCTCACTGTCTTCAACCCCCTCCTGGCAGCTCAGAGGAGGAGGTTTCTCCACCCCAGTGCCAACCACCTCTCCAACCTCCTACTCAGGTCCTGAGTGCTCCCACCCGTGAGCTGTAACAGCTTAGACATGAATGCTAATGCTCGTTTTAACCACCTTCACCCCAAGTTCTCAAGCACCACCTATGTCAGTGATTGGATTACTGGAGAAGCTTATTTGAAAGACACCCACAACTACCCCAAAAAGCAGTTCCTGGTTCTCTGATGGATTGAGGTCTCATGGATGACCGAGATTTTACTGGAATATATTAAGAACCAACGAAGCAGGGGGAGCTCAAACCTTATCACACATCGAGGCCTACATAAGAGAGCAAACCTATGAATATTCCAACCAGGGAAAAGCTCTCTGCTTGCAACCTACACAGGAAAGGAATCCTTGGTCAAGGCACGCATTCCCTGGAATACAGTAATCTCCAGACTCCAATTGCTAGGGCTTTTGTATGGTCCTGCTGCAGTGCTTGTTCTCCTGTACCCAACAGACCTGTGACTCAAGAGAGCCAATACTAATGCCAGCTTTTCCCCAGCCATCCATTTTCCCTAGGTTTGTAGAACAATCTCTCCAAGGTTTGCAGCCTCACAATCAGGCTGAGCTGCCCATGGGCCTCACAAAGAGGGAGGTGAAACAGCCACCCACCTCCTGGGCCAGCCAAGCCAAGCCAAGCCAACAGACTCAGAGCCCACCAGCACACCAGCATCTCTTGGGAAGGAGACAAGACTTGCTGCAACAAGGAAGATTGTCCATATTAAGGCATCACATCCACTGTCCTCCTCCTTCAGATGTGCTCAACCTCAACATCCCTCTCCAATTCAAGCTGCTGCAAAAATCTCCTAAGGGACACTAAATATCTAAGTGGAAAAGGGCCTTGACCTCCAAAACAACCTTCTGCTTTGCTACCCGATGCAGCAGCAAACCCCAACTTGTGTAGCCACTGCTTTTATGCACCTCCTCCCAAAGGGGAAAAATTAACAAAGCTACAACACACCTCCCAGCAGGACTCGGGCTGGAAGGAGTGGGAAGTCCATTTGTCACCCTCAGCCGGCAACACGGGATCGATACAAACGATGAAGAAAGACTAATTTAATCTCCCTGGGACTAAATTTGAGCACAGCCAAATGCAAAATGCTTTGGAGCAGCACAGCTGGAGCTGTGCAAGAAAGCAAGGTTTAAGCTTCTGCATCTTTACAGACTAACATCCAGTGCTGAGCTTTTCCCCGTTTCCGGATCCTCACCTGTCTAGTCCCAGGCTGTACCTTTAGACACTCACTTGGGGTGGCAGTTGCCCAAACCGTCTTCATCAGTGCCTAAGCACACCTAGAGATGGTCACACAGAGGCTCTGTCACATGGGGAGCTGTACAATCAGCCCACAATCCCCACTACAAACAACAAAGGGACGACCATCATGGTTCACCCATCCAGGAGGAAAAGCACCTCATGGATGTTCCTTGCACCAGCCTTTCTGTCCGGGCAAAAAGCAGGACTTGGTCCCAGGACAACACAGAAATGCAGAGCTGGGAGCTGGAATGTGGCTACTTTGGGGCAGTGGTTGAGCCACCATCCCTGGAGGGATTTAAAAGACATGCAGATGTGGCACTTGGGGACATGGTTTAGTGGTGGATGTGGCAGTGTTTGGGTCGCGGTTGGACTCCTCGATCTTACAAGTCGTTTCCAACCTAAATGATTCTGCGATTCTAACATCAGGATATGCAGCTGCAAGAGCATTCCTGAGCTACTCCTGCACTCCATGTCAGAGGTGGTTAAAGCTCAGCCAAAGCCCCGGCTGATCTTGCACAGCATCGGCAACAGCCCAGCTTTGAGCAGATACCTGGGCTCAAGACTCCCAAGATCCCTTCCACCAAGACTTCTGGGACTCCAAGGCTTCCCAAGGAAATGTCTGTCCTTGCAAGGCATCACCAACACCATTCACAAACAGAGCACTTACACCCTGGGGAAAGACTCTGAAGCTTCTGTTTTGCATCAGCAGTTATTCTGTGTAGATAAAACAACGACGAGCAAGTTCTCAGGTAATAATTTATCAGTGAGAGAACACGGTGATTCACACAAAAAATGGTGAAATATGATGATAAAATGTAGTCTGTAACTAGTTCAAAAGCTCCAAGAGCTCCAAGACCATCTATCATTCTTCTCCATTCATCTCTCTGCCAACGCCTGAAGCTGATTTGTCACTCTGAAAACCTGAACCAACGCAGGCTCAAAAAACTAGTACCAAACACTTCCTAAGACCCAGACTGAAAACTGGCTAACACAGAGCCAGAGAGAAGTAATGCCACCCTCCATGCTGAAATGCTTTCCATGCTTTCCATGGTGAAAGTAATGTCACTCAGAGCAGGAGCCCAAGCAGAGAGGTGCTGCAGTGTCTCTAACCTCACTGTCCTGTTTCCCCGAGCACACGAGGTAGGAGGGTGCAATCCCAAGTGCCAGAGCTCCCAGGGAACAGGCAATACCCAGACCTCTCGTGCAGGACAGAAGCACAGTGGAGGAGCACAGGGCTGCTCCAAAGCCCTGCTGCCCTGCCCAGGCTGAACCTGCAGTTCTGTCCCTGCCTTTCCACCCCCACAGCTCTCAGACCCCACAGGCCAAGCCAAGAGCAAACAAACTTGGTCACACGGTCACAGCTCTCCCGTGACAGCAAACACGGCAGCGACGCCTGCACAGTACAATGTGCAACGGGGGGTTTCCAGCCAATTACACTGCAAACTTCAGGCTAATTATTTTGCCTATTATCTCAGTGGTTCTCTTCTACATCCCTGCTTTCCAAGTGCCATCGGCTCCTCCTTGGCTGTGCCTCAGCTGATCTCCCACTGATGTCTGCACGTGCCCTTTGCCAAGGGGACTCTGATGGCCATGCTGATGGCTCCTTATGCCTGTTTTCCCCTTGCCAAGCCTTTTGTGTTCCTTCTCTGCCCTCACTGTGCTCACAGCCACCCCAGTTTACCAGCACCTGCCCGTATCGTTACCGTGCCGTTTCCCCCTCTCCTTGGCTACCCACAGGCTTCATCAAAATAAAGCCAGAGCAAAATTCAAACAGATGGCAGCTGCTCTAGTCATCCCATTCTTTTCTATCCCTTTAATCTACACCCTCTACTGCCACAAGTCACA